TCTCATTTCACTCATTCATTCATTCGTGTGCTGAGTAATCGAACCCAGGACCTCACTCAGGCCATTCAGAGACTCCACCTCTGAGTGACAGCTATTATTTATTTGGAAGAAAACAGGTTTGCTGAGCACACTGCAGCAGGAACGTTGGGCTGGGCAGCACCAAGAGTACTGCTTATCCCAGCCACCCCTTAATTCTTGACATTGGGGTAGCTCTGTCCCCTTCTATTGACTTTCAAATGACAAGAGGAAAGGCAAGGTCCCTTTTTCTCCCTGTCTGCAGCTCAAGAAAGGTCATGAGGAGACGGCAACCTGGTTTGGGAGCCCCAGGGAGTCCTTAGGACTTCCTTGACTCACTCTGCTTGTGGGCATCTTCTAGCCTGCCCTGTCACTTGCTTCAGCTGAGCAAGCAATGAGATCCAGGTCCCAAAGTATGAGTTGGAAGGCCAGCGCTGCTGCACACTAGCTGTGGGACTTAGAGAAGTCTCTTAATTTCTCAAAGTCTTACTTCACTGGTTTGTAAATTTGAAGATAGTAGTAACCAAAATGTCTCCCATGCTAATGAAGGAATTTTTTAATGCAGACACTTTGTCCCAGTAATTAGACATACAGAATTTACCTAAAGGGAATGCAGACACAATGACACAAAGACTATAACATGTATACAGTGATGGTGCTCTTATTACAGCGCTCCAGTTATTTACAACATTGATAAATCTGAAACAACTTAATGTCTGACTATAGAAGATATGTTCAACAACTTTACACTCCCTATGTTGTAATATGAGTCAGCATTTAAAATGGTTCGGAAAGGGCTGGAGAGATAGCTCAATGGTTAAGAGCACTTGCTGCTCTTTGCAGGGACCCTAGTTCAGCACCCAGCACCCACACAGCAGCTCACAACTGTCTGTAGCTCCAGTTCCAGGGTATCAGACACCTTCTTCTGGCTTCTGTGGGCACTGCATGTATGTGGTATACATGTATACATGCAGGCAAATATTCATACACATAAAATTAAAATGAAACAAAATTTTCAAAACAAGATAAATAAAATGGGTCATAAGATCTGTGTTGTTGAGTTAGCCCTTTATCTTAAAGTTGGTACTACTGGACCATATCCTGAGGACTATCAAAGACTTAAGTATAATGACTGATTCTTCTTTACATTTATTTATTTGTTTGTTTGTTTTGGTCTTTTTTGAGACAGGGTCTCCCTGTAACCCCAGCTGGCCTGGAGCTATTTAGACCAGGCTGGCCTTGAATTCATAGAGCTCTGCTTGCCTCTGCCTCCCGGTGTTGGGGCTAAAGGCCTGTGCCACCACACCCAGCTTTACTTTTTAATTTCATTGTTTTTGTTTTTGAGACAAGTAGCCCCGGCTGGTCTTAAACTCCAGATTCTCCTGCCTCACCCTTTTGAGTGCTGAGATTATACACCTGTGCATCACCACACTCAGCACCAGTGGTTGATTCTAAAGAGTAGAACTGCTGGGGTCTTCCAGGCTAGCCTTAATCTCAGAGGTCCAACTGCTGTGATTAAAGGCGTGTGCCACCACACCTCACTAATTTGAGGATTTCAGCTAGGAGTGGTAGTGCTTGCCTGTAATCCCATCATTTGGGAGGCTGAGGCTGGAGGATTACAAGTTGGAGTCAGCCTGAGCTATGTAGCTAGACCTTGTGTCAAATACAAAAAAAAAAAAAAAAAAGTGAAGTTTTGGCCCTATACTTGGTCTGCCTGAGAACTGTTCAATTACTTAAAATATATAAATAAGCAAAATGTGTGTCTGAGGACATGGCACATCGCTTGTATCTGCAGGTGTGTGCATCACTATAGACAGTTTTGATTCCCTTGTTAATACTTTCCTGAGTTTTCTAATTTGTTTGCCATAAACAGTACATAATTTACCACAATGAAATGAAACTAAACAATAAAAGGCTTTGGTTTAGAAAACAAGCAACCTACTACCTCCTAATTCTTGTTTTCAAAAGCTCAAAATGTGAGGATATTCTGCTTGTACCTCATCCTATACAACAAATAACATACAAACTTAATGGTTTACGACACTTACATTCATTTTTTTTCTCAAGTATCATCTGTGGGTCAAGATTTTAGGGGCTTAACTGAACCCCTTGGACTAAGAATGAATTTGTCTGTTTGTTTGAGCTCTTGGGCGGAACCCAGGCCTTCAGGCACTTGACGACTGAGGTGCCTCCCCAGCCCATGGTTCAAGATCTTTGAGAAAGCTGCTGAGGGGCTCAACTGTGCCTGGCTCTTGGCAATGGACTTCTGTTCCTGATCACATGACCATCTTCTTGTGGCTGCTTACCTTCACCAGCTGCTTGAGCGACCTCCTAACATGACACAGACCTCTGCCACAGCAAATATCAAAGAGGCAGCAAGGTAGAGACCACACCACCTTTGCTGACTGAGCCCCAGAAGTCACTTCTGCCACAGGCTGTTGGTTGTATACACCATTCCCAACTTGCATGGGAGAGGACACAGAAACAAAAGAATGCAAGGAGGCCAGCATCACTGGGCTGTTCTGGCTACTGTAACTACACACATGAGAAGTCTTTTAAAAACTCTTGAGTGTTCTACAAAAGAGAGGGAGACCTATTTTGTCCTCTCTCCTCCCCAAGGAGCTGCATCCTAAGAGCAGCACCTTTTTAATAATATTTGAGAATTTGATCATACTCACCCCTCCCCCATTTCCTCTCAGATTTACTTCTACTTCCCTACCAAAACCCCCAACTTTATGTCCTGTTTTTTTTGTTTATTTTGAAGCCCAGCACCCATCAAGTTAAATTTATGTTGCCCAAATACTCATTGGGTGTGGTCCATCCCCAAAGCGTGGTCCACCTGTCAGGGGTCACACCTTTAAAGAAAACGGACTCGTAGGGGCTGGAGAGATGGCTCAGCAGTTAAGAGCACTGGTTGTTCTTGCAGAAGACCAGCACCCACACGGAGGGTAACAACCATTCGTAACTCCAGTTTCAGGGGATCCAACACCCTCTTCCAATCTCCAAAGGCACCACATGACATGGGTGTACACAGGCAGACGTAACACTCATACACATAAATAAATAATTTTTTTTTTGGTCTTTTTGAGACAGGGTCTCCCTGTAGCCCCAGCTGTCCTAGAACTCACTATGTAGACCAGGCTGGCCTTGAACTCACAGAGATCTGCCAGCCTCTGCCTCCCGAGTGTTGGGATTAAAGGCATGTGCCACCATGCCTGGCCCCAAAATAAATAATTTTTAAAAAACTGACTCTTCTTCCAGCAGCTATCAGTTGTCAATAGCTCCTCAGTGAGGGGTGGAGCTTCATGCCTCCCTCCCTCCCTGCTGGGACTTTTGTCTGTCTCGAGCTTGCAGAGACTTTTTTCATGTTGTCACAACTGCTGTGAGTTCATATGCAACTGTCCTGTGGTGTGCTGAAAAGTCTGTTTCACTGTCATCATTTACCACCTCGAGCTCTTACAATCTTCCCGCCTCCTCTTCTGTGATGATCTCTAAGCCTTGGAGAGGTATGGTATAGATATCCCATTTAGGGCTGAGAACGTTGAAGTCCCTTATCTGAGAGTAACTTCTTTCATGACTTGACCATTCATTGTGTTTTGTGTCTTCAAAGAACCCTTCCTCTGAAGACATCTAAATGCCTGTAGGACAAAGCAGGGAGTATAACCTTAAGCACTCTAGGTCCAGCTCTTGGTTTTTGGACTATCCATACTGCATATGATGTCAGAGCATTGCTTACTGTGATGGTTACTACTGTCAACTTGACAGGATCAAGAATCACCCCAGAGCTGGGCCTCTGGGCTTACCTGTTGGGGATCACCTTGATAACATCAATTCAGGTGGGAAGACCTGTGGACTATGGATGACACCATTCCCTGACTGGGTCCTGGACTATATGAATGGAGAAGTGGAACTCAGCTTCAGCAAGCAGTGATTGGTCTCTGCTTCCTGAGTATGAATCTAATACATGACCAGCTGCTTCACTTTCCTGCTATTGACTGCCCCCACCCCATAATGGACTGGACCCTGAACTGTGAGCTATCATAAACCCTTTCCCTTTTAAGTTGCTTTCATTAGAATATCTTACAGCAACAGGAAAAGAAATTAAAATGCTGTCACTGCCTTTACTCCCTATCCACCCATTCTTAGATGTCCTAGAGTGTCCGCAGAAAAAGGGCAGAGGGCTCACCGGGCTCAGGAGTTCCTTCAAGTTAGAACCCCTCTCACGTGCTAGAATGAGAGAACTGATTCCTGCAAGTTGTCCTCTGACCTCCACACATGTCATGGCGTATGCCCAATCATGTGCAAATATATACACACAAATAGTAAATAAATGTAAATATTAAACATTTTTTAAAAGAAAACTTAAAGAATCATGCATACAGAATTGGGATCTAAGGAGAAGCCAAATAAACACAACGTCCCAACATCCCTCCCTGATCATCATGGGCTCCTAAGCTGGTGCACGTTTCATTTCATGATTTACTATTGCCACTTAGTACAATTTTGCAATAGTTTTCAACAAGTGGCCGCCTAGCTTTCATAGCTCTGTTTATAAAATGTCAGTATAATATTTTTTCAGCTATTTTTATTTCAGAGAAACATTCCAAATAATTCCTTTATTCAGTGTATCACTTTGTAGAGGACCCTAAAACTTTTGATCTTTCTGCCTCAGTCTGCCTATGGCTGGGATTACCAGAGTGTGCCATGATCTCTACCTGAAATGCCTTTTTTTTATAAAGATTTTTTTTTTTTAGTACAAGATCTTATGTAGTCCAGGCTAGTTTGAACTCACTATGTACTTGAATATGACCTTGAATTTCTGATCTTCCTGCCTCTATTTTTGAAGTGCTGAGATTACAGAGGTACAACACCATACCAGGTTTACATGGTATTAGGGATTGAACACAGGGTCTCATGTATGCTACGCAAGCACTCTACTAATTGAACTGTAGCCCCAACCTCCAGTTCAGAAAATTTAAAGCTATATACTTACCTGGCAGAGAGATACCATGATCACAAAGATGGTTTTCCCAGGGTGAGGCTCATCCATTATACCCCAGGTGTGCCGACCCCTGAGATTGCCCCAAATTTGGAAACTCAACTGCATAATTTGTGGTAGTGGGGCACTGTGTTCATGCTCTCCCCTGAAAAAAAATTAAAGCTATATATTACATATTACCTTGGACTTTTTCAGGGCAACCTCCCAAGGTTAATGTTATCCGTCTGGACTATATGAGTTTTGAACTTTTTGGTTTTGTCTTTATTATTGATGTATAAAGTTTAACTCTTTTTTCCTCACTTTAGTTATATATATATATGCCTTTTTGAGACAGGGTCTCCCTGTAGCCCCAGCTGGCCTGGAACTTGCTATGTAGACCAGGCTGGACTTGAACTCACAGATATCCACCTGCCTCTGCCTCCTGAGTGTTGGGATTAAAGGCGTGCACTACCATTTTTCTTTCTTTCTTTCTTTCTTTC